GGTCCCTGTGCTTTGCCAAGCTTGTTCTAAGTAGGTGCCTTAGACCACCGAGCCATCTCACCAGCCCCTTGAATTTTTTTATAAAGTGACATAATCTGATGCCTATTTTTGAAAGATCATTTTGGTAGCAGTATGAGACACTAGGAGAAAGGCAAGACGGCCTAAATTTACTGAGTCTTTAACAAATACCTATGAACTCTTTCAAACTTGTGAAGCATACTTTTTTAAAATCTTAAAAAAAAAAAGGAACCAAACTCGGGCCCTCACGCTTGCCAGGTGCTATGCCGCTGAGCCGCATCCCTGTCCCCTGTGAAACACAGGCACTCAGTGAAACTTACTTTCCCCCACTAAGGTGTGCTGCAACAGTCATTGCGTTACAGATGAGAAAATGAGAGCACAGAGAGGATTCCACATGGGCCAAATCTGGCAAAACTGCACTGGAGCTTCCCTGGGGAAAAGAGGTCAAACTAGGCAGCAGCAAAGGCAAAGGGGAGGTGGAGGAGGAATCCAAGTGATTAGGAAAGTGGATTCCAAAGGACATGGGGATGCCTCTGCACTGGAATACAAGCAAGAGGACTACAGTGGCTCCAGGATAAACGCTGCTGCCCACTGCACAGCACAGTCCTTGCCCAGAGGAACATGAACGGGATCTGACTATTCAAACCTTCAGTGCAATCAGGTGACCAGGAATCCAGCTGAGTCTGAAACACACACGATAGAAATCTCTTCAGCTTGGGACATATGTATGCTAGGGGAAGTGGGGGAAAATAAATTTTATCAGGGAGTGGCCTCGGAAAAAGTGAAAGGAAAGGAAGCACCTGCCCTTCAGACACCAGAGGCTACCTGCTGGCAAGAGCATCCCTGTGCTCTGTCACATCTGCCCCAACTAGAGCAGAATGAAAGCCTCTGGACCTAAAAGGTCCACAGCACCTGGCTCACGGAACACCCCTGCATGACTACTGGGGAGCTTTTCCTTTCATTATAATAAACATGCATTTGGAGAAAAAAAGAGAAGGGCATGGTGGCACATGCTTGTAATCCCAGCACTTGGGAGGTTGAGGCAGGAGGATCACTGTGAGTTTGAGGTCAGCCCAGGCTACACAAGCATGTTCAAGGCCAGCCTGGGCTACATGGCAAACAAGGGACACAACAGGTCTGTTTAGTTTGAACTTTAAAGAAGCATAAAATCTTTTGGTGTTTTTGAGACAGGGTTTTGCTAT